CACTGCTAACAATCTGGGCCGGGGAGGCAGGCCGGCATGGCTGACCGAAGGCGAGAACAAGGCCGCCGTGTCAACAGGAGAGCGAGGCGAGACTCGACATTAACGCTCCTGGAAATGCTCTCATCGGGAGCGACAGAGAATCTATAAGGGAGGCAGCTTGTTGGTACTGTGGATAAATAAGAGGTGCATGAATGCAGATAAGGGATCCAGTTCACTTCCTTGCCGCTGCACTTCCCCTGAGTCGCCTGATGGGGGCAGTAGAGGCTGGCTGTAACACAGCAGAGGCATCAAACAAGCCTGTGACCTCCTGAAAGGCAGAGCTGCCACTCAATAATGCAGGAGGGGAGATAACAGGAGCGTCAACACACAACAGGAAGATAAACATCAAAAAGGGCTGAAACGATCAATCGGATTAATACCGATTAATCGATTAGCCAACTGATTACTGACTATTACTTTGATAAACTATGTAAGGTGACCACGAGTGTCAAGAAAGACACAAATAAAATGTATTGTTATAATTAATTAATTAGTTTGTTGAAATAACACACCCACACTGTAAAAACACAAAATCTTAAAAAATATTTTCCCTAATTTCTAGTTCAGATATCTTAAATAAAACACAACTAACCAGGAAGTAATTTTTCAGCTTGTTTTAAGTAAATTATTCCTTAATATTCCATTGGTATTATTTCACTTTAAGCAATAAATTTTTCCATGTTTTAAGTTAAATAATCTGCCAAACGAACAAGAAACTTTTCATCAATATTAAGGAATAATTGACTTAAAACAATGATAGTTTCTTGTCAGTCAGTTCACTTGAAATAAGACAAAACGAAAATATTTGAAGATATCTGCAATAAAATGTTTCTTTTATTATTTAAAAAAAAATAAGTGATACTAAAACTATTGTTAAAATTTACTTCTAAAATTAGTATAGAAAAAGCTAAAGTGGTTAAATAAAAAAAAAGAAATGGATAGAATGTGCTACATTTTTTATCCGATTAATCGATCAAATCATCAATAAGTAAGATAATCATTGCAATAAAAGGTTTATTTTCTTATTTATAATACTAATAATGTTCAAAGGTATTTCTAAAATTACTATAGAAGAAGCTTAAGAGGCTAAATAAAAATTTGTAGAATATCCCTGATATTTACCCGATTATTGAATGATTGAATGATTATTGATGATTGAATAATCGATATCTAAGGTGATCGTTGGTTGCAGCCCTGTTGGCTGTGGAGACACACCCCTGCAGACACCTGCATGGCGGCTCGACGGGTTGGTGACATCCAGGGAACAAAGCGACGCTCCCACAGGAGAATTCACCCCCGCAGGTATCAGTTACTGCAGCATCTCTGGGAAAACCCAGGGAACTTTTCAATCAGGGAGAGAAACAGGAAAGGAGTGAAGGACATAAAGTACCCAAAGTTAAAGCAAAGTTAAGTTCATGCATTAAACAATTTAAGCACTCCCCTCGGCTAGGCCGCTCATGACAGCCGTTTGTTTTGTTTCTGCAGCTCTTAAGAGGGAAATTGAGCCAGTTAGTCCCCCTGAACATAACCAGGCCGGAGATGCATGGCGTTCCTGTCTGTTTACGTTTGTGGCTATGACGCGCACCCAGTATAAGATGCGCTTTGCCTCTGTGTGTATGCATAGTTCTGCACACCCACAAGCTTACAATCAAAGCCTGGATAGTATTCCAGTGCAAACATCTCGACATATCTGAGAGCTAAAATAGTCTGGAGGCAGCAGCTCATGCATGCAGGATGGCGATGCAAATAAATCAGGAGGCAGGGCGGAAAGTTTTCCTGTGTTCTCTGACACCTGCTGTCCCTTCACCAGGTTTGTTCTGGGAGGTATCGATTAATCGCATGATAAATGAAAACAACATCAATCATTTCCATTTGCAGGATTTATCTTTTTTTTCCCTTTCCTCTCTTTCTACCGAGAAATGAATGAAAAACGTCTCCAATCTGGCGACAATTTTGTTTATAAAGACGTCAAAATCAATTCTTATCGTTGTTTTGTTTATTTATTGTTGGATATTTAAAATGTCTTCCAGTTCAAATGTTAAATGTTCATTAAAATTTATTCATCTTTGAGAGTCTGTTCTTTGCATTACTATGACATTACTATTATATTACTTTAAAATGGTCAAAAAAATAAAATTATTGTTCATCGAAATAACTTCTGGGACAATTTATCGTCCAGCAAAATTTGTTTTTGTGACGAGCCCAGCTGAAAATAGTTCATAGTTACCAATTACTTCCATAGGAAAATAATCAAATTACTTATTTTCAAAAGTAATTTCTTACTAAATTACTTAGTTACTTTAAGAAAAAGACACACAACCTGAAAATGCAATAAAGCAATTTACCTTTTGGCCTAATTGTATCGTTTCTGCATTTCCCATCATATGAAATTCTCTTAAAGCTGGATTTGTTTCGCTCCTTTACCTTTATGCACACTGCATCACCAAAAATGATTAAATATTGATAGCTATCATCTGCCTATTGTAAGAAAATCAACTCTTTCTTCTGTTAAACCTCTGACTAAACTTTATTTAATTATTTTAAATTGACCTACATTTTGATGACACTTTACTGGTTTACTGTCTTTTTTCACTTTGTATTTTTGTATTTTTATGATGTAAAGGCCTTTGAACTGCCTTGCTGCTGAAATTTTAATCACAAATAAACTTGATTGATTGATTTAAAATACTATTATTTTTGCATTTGCTCTCCATCCGAATAATAATTTCAATTAAAGTTTCTGCTAAATGTACTCCAAATTATTAACATTTACATCTTTTAACACGTTTTGTAGCGCAGTAACGCAGTAATCTAATAATTGTTTCTGCATTTGTAATCCCTTATTTTACCAGTTACTTGAAAAACAGTAATCGGATTACAGCGGGTACTGGTTTCGAGGATCCAGATGTCCTTCAGTGAGTCTCCCTCTGTTCGCCACTCGCTCTTTAGGTCAAAAATGACTCGCCCACAAGTAAAAAGCTTCCAGTCGACTACAGAGAGAGCTTATTTTGACTCATGCTTCAAGAGAAAATCAATATTTGCACAGATCTATGGGAGGGAAAACAATAGTGATGTGGCCTCCACCAGGCCGGTCTGTTAATGGTCTGTTTACTGGGACAGACGGGATAATGGGTTGGGTGTTGGCTGGTGGAGAGTCAGCCGACGGCCGCGCGCTTCTGATGCAGTTTCTGCTGAAGAAACTGACAGAAACTGGGTGCAAGGCGGTGGCTTGCGCCGCGGACGCAGGCGGCTCGCCCTGTTGACACAGACGGGTTTGCAAGTCAAATAGCCAACCTCGTGCCTCCACACTTTTATAGCGCCTGCGCTCTCTTTTGGCTATGCAAATGATAAATCTGTGCGCCTCAGGACTGTAGACAACCCTTCAGACGGACGCAGTGGAAACACTTAAATGGTCGATGATGCTCAGCGACTGCAGACTGAACCCAGTAACAGCAGACTGGACCTGGGTCGCTTACTGGTACCAATGGATACTAAGGCTTTAAAATCTCTGAAAAACTGTTGCCCCTCCCCCGCCTGTTGGTGCACACTGACAATCATCAAAGTAAAAAAATGCTCTGACACTTTTGTCTATAATATATCCAGCTCTGGAATAAACAGAGCCACTGCAGTGAATTTTAACTCTTCCAGAGTTAAAACATTAAAATTGTTGTTTCTAAATGAATATGAACTTGTTTTCTTTGCATTATTTTAGGTCTGAAAGTTCTGCATCGTTTTGTTATTTTGACCATTTCTAATTTTCTGCTTTGAATTTCAGAGAAATGTTGTCAGTAGTTCATAGAATAAGAAAAACAATGTTGATTTTTCTCAAACATATATTTATAAAAAGTAAAATCATAGCAACTGATCATTTTAATTGCTCTCTTTAATGATCAGTCAAAGAGAGTTGCATATTTACATATTACCATATAATATCCAATTTTAACAGTGGTAAACCACAATAAATAATGTCAAATATATATATATATATATATATATATATATATATATATATATATATATATATATATATATATATATATATATATATTTGGTCTAGTTTCTAGTGCAAATATCTTATTTCAAGTGTACTAACTTATAAGTAACTTTTCAGCAAGAGAAGTTACTTATTTTATGTAAATAATTCCTTAATATTGATGAAAATACACCGATTATTGTAGTTACAACAAGACATTTTCCTATAAGTGACAATCTGCCAGCGAAAAAAAGTACTTTTTCATCAATATCAAGGATTGATTGACTTAACACAAGCTCCTATATCAGGGGTGTCCTGAAACTTTTAGATGTGCCTCTGCTGCACCAAACCTGAATAGAATAATTAGGTGATTAGCAAGGCTCTGGAGAACTGATCTACACAAGGAGGAGGTAATTAAGCCATTTCATTCCTGTTGTTTTTTACCTGTGGCACATCGAAGAACTGCAGGACAGTTGCCCTGGAGGACTGGAGTTTGACACCCCTGTCCTATGTCTTGCTGAAAAGTTACTTATATTTCAAGTGAACTAACATATTTGCACTAGAGTCTAGACCAAAAATAATTGGTAAGATTTTGTGTTTTTGCAGTGTAGAAGGAATGGAAGTAGAAGGAAAGACCATGATTGAATAGTTTTCTATTTTCCACATAAGTTTTGTATCCAAAAGAAAAATAAATACACCTTCAGACATCTCATTAATGAGATAACATACACATAAAAGCCATACAAAAACCTGATATTATAGCAGCAACAGTTTCCAAGATGGTGCATGAAATGACTAGATTTTCCGTTTCCATCTTGGAAACCGAAAGTATTGTGAGAAAACGCAAATTGAATACAAAAGAAAACATTTCCACCACGTCCCGTAGGGGGCTCCATATGAACCTGCAGACGTTATTTGGTGTTTTTATTTAAGTGCAGATGAAAGACCTCGGCTCCTACAAAGGTTCAGGTGAGGTCTTGCTAAGGGCCTCATTCAGCAGCTCTTAACTTCAGCATCAAAGCCGTGTTTATACGGTAAGGAGCGTGAAACGGTACGAAACGAGAGCCGTCTCTCCGAGGTGCCATCAGTCTGCCTCTGTCAGCCCCAGCACTCTGACTTCCTGCTCCCTCTTGGTCGGTGACCTCTGACCCGGCCCCGGCCCCCTCACACCCGTCATAGCAGATGGATGTGAGCCTCGCAGGGATCGGAGAATGTGGAAAACCCATTCGAGGCGATTCCTAGAGATTCCTGCTGCTGGCTGTTCTCTGACTATTAATCAAAGAGAAAAAGAAGAATGATTCCACTACTTCTGAATCAATTAATCGCGATTAATCGATTATTGAAATAATTGTAAACTAATTTAGTTATTGGTTAATCGTTAACTGAAAGATCAACAGACTCAGAGTACTAATTAAGCCAAAACTGTAAAAAAATATATATGTATATTTTGTATCTCAAATAGAAAAAAATCTTTGTTTAGTTTCAGCTGGTTCCAACTCCGTAAAGCGCTTCCCTGCTTTACGCTCCATAACAAGTTTAAGTGAAAAATCTGTATAATGTGCTTGTTGTTTTTATTCGATTAATCATTAGAATAATCTATAAGTGAAATAATTGTTAGTTGCTGCCCTACTCTGAAATGATTAATCGGATTAGTCATGATTAATCAATTTTTATTAAAGTAATTGCAAACTTATTTATAAATCAATTAATTATTAACTAGAGCATTATTTTTTTAGCTGCAGATGCATCCTGAAAAATGGTCATTCAAAGGATTGATAAACTATTGCATTTTGTAAATAATATTTTAAATGTATTTCTAATATTAATATAGGATGAACTTAAGTGGTTAATTGAAAAATCTGAAGATAATCGGTAGAATAATTAATAATATGATTGTTAGTCGCAGCCCTATTCATTTTCGCAATTATGATAAATCGATTATTGACGTAATCTTGAACTAATTTAGTAATTGATTAATCGTTAATTGGAGTATATGGACTCAAAAAAGGCCATTTGTTCAAAGAACAACACGGTCAGAGCAGTAATTTAGTCAAAACCGTACAAAAAAAATCAACACATTTTGCATTGGAGAGAAAAGAAGAGAACTATGTAAACATAAACATAGTTTTAGATTAAACTTAGGTTGTTAAATGAAAACTCTGAAGAGTGTGTGCCAGTATAATCAATAGAATAATTGATAACTAACATAATCGTTAGTTGCAGCTCAACTTCTCTGCACAGCATGATGTAAGGCAGGAAGAACTGACTTGGATGCTATTTAATCCTCTGAAACGCTACAACTAATCAGCAGTTCTGCGAGCCGGATCCAGAATCCCTGAGGCCAAGTGATTCCAAAGAAGAGCAGTTCAGACTGGGAGAAAAGCCCACCAGGCAGGAAGAGGTTAGCAAAGCGCGCTGCCAGGAACTCCTGGCACTGATGGCATCACTGCCTATCCTGGATAAACTCCCTCCCACCAAAGCACTTAACGCAATATGAACCAGCGCACAAACAAAGACATGCATGCCGAGTTCAAATAAACACGCCGGCTCTGAGATGCACTGGAAGCTGAAGAAGAGTCAGGAGGAGAGCATCACTCACAGACCCATTAACCCCGGGCTGCCAACCAGAACAGCGAACAGGCGTCATTTTAAGTACATGTTAAAAATAGCTGGTGTGTTGACGAGGGATTTATGAACAGGAATATCCATTGAGTTCAAATACAGACTGGGAGAGAGTTTTAAAGTTCACCTATTATCTGCTTGATCAGGTTAGGATAGGATGGGCTACACAAAACTTTTTAATTAAATCATTTGAAGATAATTATTCTGGTCAGTTCTGCAGAATGACGGCAGGATCCCAAAATGTAGGACTGCTTTTAATAAAAATCCCTTTTCCTTTGTCGTGACAAGTCATTGGAAATATTTTGAGTCATTTTGGAAATATTTGTACATTTGGCAAAAAATATGGCTGATTTGTACTCATTATTGATGAAGGCAGAGAAACAGTTTTATGAATCATCTGTTGGTTTGCAGTTTGGTTTGCTTGGTTTTAGTGAGATCTGAATAATCACTTCTCAGAAACTGGTTTATCACCAATTCATAACCGGTTAAGTCAGACCTGATTACATCAATCTGTTCAGGGACTGTGGGTGAAAATGAACATTTGTTGCTACAACCTGGAACCATTCATCTCCCCTTCAGCTAATGATGATCAGTAAGTAATCATATTGTCTTTGTAAATCAACAAATAGTCTAATTGGGTATCTTGTCACTTTAAATCCAAATAAGCCGCTGCTGACCCTGCACCAACTCAACGTTTACACTCAGACGGGAAAATGGCTGCAAACAGATGCGCAATTATACAACTGCACATCTTTGAAAAGCAGAAGTAGAGCCTCCTGCGCAACCAAAATGAATGCAGCAAGTGGATTCTTGTCAACAACAAACTGGAACTTGTCTTTTCCAGCAGCGCATACAGCGACAAAATTGCGATTAATCAACAACTGAAAAAAATCATCAATTCAATAATTGATTAATTATTAATTTGAGTACACAAACTCAAAAAAAGTCAATTTGCTGAAAGAACAACAAAATCAGAACAGTAATTAAGCCAAAACTGTACAAAAAATACAAACATTTTGCATTTAAGGTAATAAAAAGCTTTATGTGTAAATATATACGTTGTTTTAGCTTCATCTGGTAAAAATTTAGTTTATCAATTTATCGGTCAACAGATATAAATTAAAGTAAATACAGCGACAAAACCAGCTGACCAAACATGCTGGAGCTCTGCTTGGGTTGCTAGGCAACAGGCCAGGCTTGGCTGAGGTTGCTAGGTAACGCTGCCTGCTGATTCCGAAGGTTTTTGAAACGGCTCATTTTCCAAACACCCAAAAACATCAACTTATTGCCAAAAAACGGCCACGTTGGTTTTTTTTTAAGTGCATGAACTGTTTTTAACGAGCAGCAGAAACCAAAACGGAAATACAAAAATGTGAATTTTGCTCAACAGATCCCCTTCATTCGAAGAAACTGTTCGCTAATGATCGTTGTTTATGAATGTAGGTCACGGCAAACTGCTTGTGGCCATTTAACCCCTCAGACAGAGAAAGTGCTCTGAGGACTACTTCCTGGAGCGTCGAGGCGCATCCACAGGAGAAAATGTCTCCAGACTAAACACCCATTCATTCAGCTGCTCCCCGACAAGAGACGGACCCCTGACAAGAACACAAAAAAGAAAGGAGAAAAAAAAAAGAGAAAAACATCACTTTTTCCACCAATTATAGATGCAGAGTGGGGGAGGAGGAAACGGCAAGACTTCAAAATATTATACACACTGGCATTTGGCGAAGCACATTGAGCAACTTCTGTCAGAGCGAGAGAGAGATGGGCTAATTTCAGGGCAACTCACGCCAACACAAACAACTGTTCTGGCTCGCTGTCATTGAGGTTTGAGTCAAATTTTTCAACGCTCTGCAAGCCAGTTTCTCTTTCCCCTGCTTTTTTCCCCTCGCTATATGATTTGTCTTTTTCCAAAGATCCCAGTCAGTCTTTCATCGCCTACGCAGTCAGAGCCTCTGAAAGTATTCTGCGAGAAACTCAGATCCAGATGCTGATCCACTCTGCATAAACAAAAATAGATCTTTTTTTATTCTTTCACAGAAATCGTCCACGTTAACAGATTTACTGTCCTACTTTTAAGAAGAAGAAGGAGAAGAAGAAGAAGGAGGCAAAGAGGATGAACAAGAAGAAGAAGATGAAGAGCAAAATATGTCAAATTATCTTCAATATCAAGGCGATTGAAAACAAACTGGTTCTAATCAAGTGTTCAAATCTTAGAAAATGTCTTTCAAAGGCCCACTTCTCTTTGTCAAATTGTTTAATTAACCCACAGGAAATTGTCTGAGAATAGATTACCTCATTTTAGTCTGAACTTTGACTAGGCCACTCCAAAAGCTTCATGTCCTGCTGCTTAACACAAGAGCTCTCCATCTTGTACAGTTAATTTTATTATATTTCCTAGTGTGTGTTCAATTATAGTATCACTAAATACTAATAGCCTACATTAGAAAATACTGTTAAATGCAATTACTTAATATGACTAAAGAAACAAATAACAAATGGTTGTTTCTCACAAGTAGGTTTGTCACAATAAGAAATAAATGAATAAATCAATTAAACAGACAATAAATGAAAACAAACTTTTCATTGTTTTTGTTTTTTTTCTCGTCTCTTTCTTCCAAAAACGGGACAACAAAAGGTTTCGGTTTGGTCTCAACTAGCCTCTTTTGCAAAGGGAAATTTTACAGAGATTTCAGTATCCATTTTATTTGTTGTTTTTGGTGTTTTGTTTATTTTGGAAATTTAAAGAGTCTTTTAGTTGTGATATTAAGTTTATTAGCATTTCAGTGAGCGAACTTGCATTGCTCTGCCATAATATTACTTGAAAATGGTCTCAAAACAACAATATTATTATTGCGTTTATTGTCATCACAAAATATTGTGTTAAAACTTTAAGTCCACATCGGCCACCCTTATTCTAGAGGTTGGGAAGTAATCAGGGAAATCAGTGAAATGTAATTACAATTAATTCATTATTTAATAAGAGGAGGTGGTTTGGTTTTCCTCATAAGAAAACTGATTTTGTATTTATTAAAGTTACTTTTGTCCGACGAATTTTCCAAGTGTGACAATAAAAGTAAAATGCCGAATACATTTAGCAAAGTATTGAGAAACCATTTTACTTGAACATTGAGGAGTTGGAATGAGCTCAGCGATGAAAACAAAGACGATTTGAGTCGTTTGAACAACATGGCCATCCATGTTTTTCTGCTCTGAATTGCTGAGTGTTTTTGATGTATGCAGGTTATGAGCCTCTTGCGGTGGCGGGTCAGGAGAGGCGCCAGCGGTTTCACAGCTACCGCTGCAGTCCTGTAGGTGCAATGTGCTGCTATCCACACAACAGCCATGTGAACGTAAACATCATATGTTTCTGTTTGGGTCTTCGAAGAACTATTTACTTCTGCTTTGATTTTGTTTATTAAAGGCTTTTTACTGTTCGACATGAAAGCACAGAGCCATGGAGGGACATTTGGAGAGCAGGCTGCAGCGCTGCAGTCTGCTCATAATTCTCATGGCTCACGCATACTTCTGGGTACCTGCCAGTCAACGAGAAGGGCAGCAATGCAAAGCCATTATGGAAACCTCAAACAGTTGGGGTCAAACCCTCTGAAACAAGTCATACACACCTTCACACATCAGGACAGTCT